TAACTTTCAAGACATATTTCAATGTTTTTGTTGCCTATAAATTTGGAACTTACTCCTTAACATGTGTCATAAATTTATATAGTATAACAATTTTTCCTTTCGTATTTTATTTTTCCTCTACCTCACCTTTCACCGCCAATTTTCCAAATTTGCCAAAACTCTATTTTATGAAGTTTAAAAATACAGGAAAACTTTTAAAATAGTCTAAGCGCAATATTAAATTTATGTTAACTAGATTCAGTTAAAGGATTGTAGAAAGAAACAAAAAGAAAACAGATTAAGAGATAAAACCAGAACCAAATACATTAGTCAAAGCCAAATGTAAGAGCACGACATCTGGCATCAACAAAAATAACATTTGTCATTGAGAGCAATCTTATGACAACACTTGTAAACAGATTCAACCTCAAAGGCAGCTTGATTAAATTAATAAAGTAAATGGCCAAATTAATAATCAATTGTTCTCAAGATAATTAGGTACTAATATTTAAGTCAAAATTAAAGAGGGTTAGAAACTTACCTTTAATGGTCTTGTGACAGTAATAGTTTCAATAGTTGTAGTAGGTGCCATTTTGTCGTCTGAAGGTCGGCACGAACTGAAAAAAGTTTTAAAAAAATTATTATCAGAAAACTTAATAGATTTATATTTAAAAAAGATAAAGTAGTGATTAATACAAATTTACTGCACAATCTAGATCAAAATAATAATAATTACGTCTTGCCGGAACAGATTTGAGATGGATGAATGTTTTACGTTCAACCTTATGAAGAATATATATATAATAACACTATTTTACCCATGTCCAAGTAACTACTAAACATAATTTATTTTATTGGTTGTATTAGAGCTTATCTAGTTAAAGTAAGTCTTAGTCCAATTAACTTAAATTGATTTAATTCCGAACTGAACAATTGTTAAGGATTGTAAAATCAGGAATTGTTTCTGCAATTAGTGACCTAACAACACTTTTCTTCCGACCAACATGGATTATAGAATTTATACATCCCAGTGGTACCTCCAACTAAAGCAAAAGAGAGATAGAAGCAAATGTCAACAAATTTTGATAATGATTAAAATCACTAAACCAATTTAATATTAATTGATTAATTACTTACAATTAATTTATATTTTATTTATAAAAATATAAAATTCATATTATGGATTGTAACACTCACTATTTCATTATATCACTACATGAAATTCATTGATCTAGTATTAATGATTAACTTATATCAATTGAATTATCTTTCTATTACATAAAAAGGTTTTTAGTGATTGTCATATTTTATTTTTCAATCAAAATAAATTAAACTGCTGGGATTTCCTTTATTATATAAAAGTTTTTAGTGACTGTGTAATATTTTATTTTCCAATCTCAAAAAAATTAAAATGCTGAGATAGACTTGAATTTGTTTTTCCTGCTTACACTACTAAAAAAAAATAATATAATACGAACTACAGAATACATGTAAATTATAATTAGATCAACGAATAGTACAATTAAATTAACAGTTGTATAATTTATAAAATGGAGTTTGGTCCGCCAATAGGCAAAGTATTTAATAATTGCAATATTTTTAATTTAAAAATTAACCTTCAGTTCAAAGAAGTTACACAGAAAATATTAAAAAAAACAAGTTTATAGAACAAAATCATCACTCACACTGCTATGCATTACAGACCATATAAAACAAGAAATTCGTCATACGCCTTACCTTGGTATGTGATAATAATGAGATGATCTAATCACTACTGAATTAAAAAACTAACTATTCACAATGAATCATCAAGAAAATATCAACAAACATTTTTAAAAGTGATTTATGTGCTGATTGTGTTGCATTATATAAAACATATATTTCAGAATAATTAAAAATATTTTATTAAAACAAAATTCTCTGCTTATTTCAAAACATCTTGACACATAAAAAACCCTCAGATACTACTATCCTCAGATGACTAAAGAATTGTAAAATGAAAAAAAAATCAATATTGTTTGCGGAATAACGATTCTACCAATTATTTGATAATTTATTGGATTTATTTAAAATACAAAATAACACAAGGCTTTTATTTAACTTGGTAGTTTAGTAAGAATACAGCAACAAATAATGAATTTTAAATTTTACTTCTTAAAATGAGGAAAACTTAAAAATAAAGTACATGATTTGTATTTTAAAATATTTTATTTGAAATACTGTACAGCTCTGATAGGAAAAATAGAAATATTGTTTTGCTTTTATATTTTTTTTTCTGATTTAGCATTTGTATTAATTAACAACTGTCAAGCAGATATTGTCAAAACTGGAAATAAACCTTTATAGAATTGATAAAAATATATTTTATACTATAACAGTACTGTTATGATATTTCTATTAAAATTGAGTTACCAATGTTACATTGTAAGACATTTTGAAATGCACTTTGTTAGTAGTATTCACTAACACCATTAATACGATACTTAACTAATCATATTTATTTTTATATAATTAAATCTAGTAACAGAATTAATAAGAACTCACAGCATCAGAAAATATTTTTCTTTAATGATGAATATTGGTCTACATAAAGTGTAAGACAATTTATACATAAAAAATATTCATTAGAAAAATAAATATTCATATTATATCCAGCTCATAATATAACATATTTATATTCTAATATATATCATTCAAATTAGAAAGATCCTTAAAATATAAAAAGAATTTTAAAAAATCATACAAAAAATATGAATTTACTAAAGTTTTATCATAGAACTGATAAAACTTTAATAAGATCTTCACTAATGGTAATGAACATCAATAACAAAACTATTAATACTTTGTTTTAAGTTTTTAACTATAATTGGCCAGAGCAATAAGAAATTGGTATAGTGATAATTTAAATACATTATAAATAATGAAATCAGTATCATAAATAGAACATTACAAAATAACGATAAGTATGGTTAGTTTATCAATAAATGATATCCTATCAGGAATGCAATGACTGAATATGGGGGCAAAAATTACTTAATCTACTGATTCTTTATTAGGCAATTCAGGTTGATTGTTTGTCATTTTTTTAAAAAATCATTGCAATTTTGTAAAAAATAATTATAACAAATATTAGAACGAGAGTATGGCAATACAAAATCTATAAACAATAACATCATTATTGGTAATCAGTTCCAATTCCAATTCAGTTCATGAAGGGCATAGGGGACATGGGCATAGGGTGCATGATTATAAACATTTAGGAATTTATTGAGACAATGACAGTTCAATAATGTTATTTTTAGAATTCCCTGATCAAATAATTCCCCATATACAGGATAATACGTCAGTACATTATAATTTTTAAATAAAATAAATAGTTGTACAAAAATAGCTAATCAGTACCACTATCAAAACTGATAAGAGGTAAATAACCAAAATAGATAAACTCACCTATACAGGAAGAAGTTATGTTGCAATCACTGCACCTGTTGATTCTGGCTGCACTCAGTTGTGTAAGCTAAGTCCATGCAAGACAAGAGAGCAAGTGTTAGTAATAAAATGTTATCAAGGCCAAGGTCAATCAAAATAAAAATAGAACAGCAAAAAGTTATGCCAAGTAATCTAAGGTTTATTTGTATTATTTATGGAAAAATTAGTCATCATTATAACAAAGTAAGATTAAATAGGAAAGTTGTTTACATATTAAAATAAAAACATCAATTAAAAGACTTATTCAATTTAGCATAAATTATTGAATATCATTAATTGATAATGACAAGAGCAAAGTCAAACAAAGCAACAGGTCTTCTCTCAAAGCACTTTCACTTGAGCCACACCAAGTGATAGTAGTTTTCTCAAACCAATTGACAAAAATAATCGACTAAAAATGTTCACATCCGTCATTCTAAAATCAGAACGAAATAATTTTGATTAAATTTAAAATTGTAGAAGTCCTATATTTTGTAGTATTTCAAACCTGCATCATTTCAAAAGCAAGTTCCTGAACATTAATTATGGGAAAAAAATTGACCTAATTTCCTTTAAAGGATTTCCAGAATAAAAGTTAAAAATAACTCCAACCTATTCTTAGAAACAGAGATGGACTTTATTGGTTGAGTTGGGGGCGGATGACTATAAAATTATATCTAACTTTAAAGGAAAAATGGTTTTAAAACACATTAAACAGATAGCTCTATTTTTTAAAAAATGACAAAAAAAAAATGGTAAATGGCATCAAGAAAAAAAACAATAAAATCAATAACTCTGATAAAAATCAAATAATAAGTATGATAAGAGATGAATCACTTCACAAGCAAAAAAATGCACCACTAAAGTAAAAAATTAACAGAATAATTATAATAAGAGGTGACATGAATAAAGCATCATGTTATTTTAAAAAACAATGAACTTACACCCAATATTTAGGAACATCTAAGTCAAGTTGGCATAAATGACCTAAATCAAGACTAGGTCTCTTTATAATAAGAAAATATCTAAATAACACCTTCACTTACCTTTCTCTGTGATATTCAGCAATAATGGAATCTGAATCAAATTCACTCAAATTTGGAAATGAGTCACCTTTAAAACTAAGATTTCCTAATACACTGGATACAGTTTGAGGTTTCATGTTTACTAAATTTTATTCAAACAAGAAAACAGAAACCGGGGCTGTCTATGTCCTACCCAAGTTTTTTAATCATTAATATGTTTCAATCAATTGAAATTAACATGAATCAAACGAACCGAACACCGATATCTATTCATACATAATTCTGATTACAATTCTTATTCAGTAATAAACGAACTCAAGTTCGCCAATGCTGCAACAGAAGAACATTAAAATCCCTATAATAGTAATCACAAGGTCATCTAGTTTTATGAAATTAGTTTTAAAAAGAATTTAATAATTCTTGGTTTTATTAATTCGTCAGAGATTAAACTCTGCAAATTCTAATATTATTTTGACATGACATGTATTTTGCAGTTGATAAAGATATAGATAGTAGTAAAATCAATATGGACGTCTTGTGTTTTTTACCGAAGTGGCTCTGTAGTGTTTAAACATTTCTTCATGTTTTTTTTAAATTTGTAATTTTTAAAATTTAAGATTGAATTTAAACATCGTAGAAATGATATGGATTTATCAAATAATTACTGTGCTATATTTTATTACTTTTGTTTTGGGTATATCCTACGACCCTTATAAAATACTAGGTGTATTTAGAACTGCAACAATTCCCGAAATCAAAAGAGCATATAAACAGCTTGCTAAAGAATGGTATAAGTTGATGACAAGATTTTCAATTAGAACATTAAATATTGTTTCTTGAATAATGTAAATCTTGTTTAATAGGCATCCTGACAAAAATGATGATCCTTCTGCTCCTGACAAGTTCATGGAGATTACACAGGCCTATGAACTTCTTACGGACCCTGATAGGAAAAAGAAATATGACAAATACGGGCGAGTAAATGATGAACCACGTCCTCGGGCTGACTTTGAGAAGAAGCACTATGAAACATTTGATGAAGTTTTGGGCGCTTTTCGTTTTAAGTTCAATGATAGAGATATTACTATATTTCACAAACTCACTGTTTCATCAAGGTAAAGTTGTGGCGTCGTCTTGTTTTGTAATTGTATACTTTTAAATTTTAAACCTGTGCTTTTTATTTTTTACAGAGCATATGAGAATGTGTTAATCCCTAAAAGTTTTCGAAAACCTTATTTAGTGTTATTCTACTCTGATTGGTGTTTTGCCTGTTTGCAAGTTGAGCCGGTTTGGAGGAGGATAATGGAAGAACTTGATCCCATTGGTAGTGTATTCATTAAATTTTTTAATAGATATTAAAACATATAGCTAAAATTTTACATTTTTGACTTATCGGGTATTTTAAATTATGTATATTTAAAGGTGTTGGACTGGCTACCATTCATGCCGAAAATGAGAAACCACTTGCAAGGAGAGTTGGAGTCTCTTCTTTACCTTATCTCATGCTTCTTTCTGATGGCAGGCTCAGCAGTTATAGGGAATCATTGTATAGTGTTCAAAAGATAGTCGGTATGTAAAATATTCAAATGCTTAGTTTATAATTATTTTTATTAATAATGTAGTCCCTTTCCTACATAGTATATTGTTATTGCCATAATTTTAATATAACTTATTTCATGGGTGATAAAGATTATCACCCATGATATGTAGAACAGTTGACTAGCTTCTTTCAATAACTTATTTCAAATTATTTTGTCTGTTTTGATTTTCTATAATCAAATTAGTTATCATAAATATCCAAATTTATAATTATTTATTTTGATGATAATTAATTGAATACCTGTCAAAGAAATATTTTGAGGGAAATATATTAGTTAATTACATTAATTGAGACTGATTAAATGTATGATGTCAATGCATTAACTCTAGATGCTCACGTTAATTAATCCAACACTGAATTTGGTCTGAGGTCAATCTAATTTATGGTTTCCTTTTATGAATATTTTTATTTAATACAATTTATTTACTTTTCAACAAAATTAAGTATTGGTTGTTAAAAATTTAGTATTTGGAAATCTTTAATAAATGAAACTTTTTTTATAACTTTATTTAATTTTTTTTATTAGGATAAAGTCGCGATTTAGTGTGTCTTAGGAAGTATCCATCAAATCACTGTTTATAAATTTAAATAAATAAGCTCTTTAGTTTTCTATTAATAGAAAATAGGGTGTTAGGAATTATAATTATAATAATATTTATGTGATAATAAATGTATATTAGAGTGAGATCTAAGGCTGTTTTATACTAACACAAAATCAATCCTGCTCAATGGCATTGAAACATGAAAGTTGATTAAAATCAACTACCAAACCCCTTCAGACCTTCATTTACAGCTGTTTGCGAAAATTGCTGGAGATCTGGTGGCCAGAGAGAATCTCTAACGAAAAGCTCGTAGGTACCACTGAACAGTTATCCATGGTGCAGGCCTTTTTTATAGAATTATTAACATCTATTTAAAACTTCATAAATGACTTCAACTTATTAATCTACAACTACAAATTCAAATACGTAATCTATAACTTTTTTTATCTACATAAATTCTCTGAAGTAGGGCGTTTTCTCATTGAATGAATTAATTTAATGAAGTACTAAATACTCATGAAAATCCATTTGCTTTGCACTTGACTTGTAAGGTAATTTGATCACAAAATTGAGAAGAAAGGTGGCCTACAAAAATATTGGTCCGTTTGGCTTATGTAACCTTGTTATTTTGACATGTTAGTGGTAGAGCACACGCCAAATGGGTCTCTCAACTTCAAGGAAACTAGATAGTAGTGTAGGGCAATAAATTGCTCGACTATTATGTCTATTAAAAATATTTATATGATTAATATTAAATTGGAAAACCAGTTAATGTCATCTTTGACAATCTGCTGGGTGACATCGAGGGAGACTTTGAAGAGTGGGAGATACCTGGTAGTAATGAAGGTACAGAAATTCCCTCTCCAACTATTTTTAATGGTGTGGAGGATGCTCTGAATAAACTCAACAACAACAAAGATCCAGGTGAGGTCTGGATTCCAGCCAAGCTTCTGAAGCATGGCGATGAGGAAATGTTGAGAGCCCTATACAATGTCATCCTCACAGTCTGGATCAAGGTAAAAAATTCTGGAGCAGTGGAAGAGAGGCATCACCTATTTACTTCACAAGAAAGGCAACTCATTTATTTTTTTTTGTCCTCGCCTTTTAGGCTATACAAGGTTTTCCTGGGGCAGGGAGTGAGGGCGGTGGATTAATACCAGAGTGAAAAGCAAACCCTCCCCCTTCCCTTTCCCGGGCACCAGGACTTGAACTTATTATCAATTTTATCAAATTATCTTTGATCTGAGTTGCTGGGCTATGCGCGTTGTTGTGCTACACGATCATTAGCCCACTTGGCCACCCCACCCCTAGAAAGGCAACATCTTGAAATGCTCCAACCACCAGGGTATTTCACTTCTACAGTTTGCCTACAAAATTCTTTCTAATATCATTTCTAAGAAACTTCTCCCATTTGCAGAGAGAGATGGGAAACATAAGTTGATCAAATGTTCCGTCCCCGGATGATACTCAAGAAGTCCCAGGAGTATCGTATGACTACTCACCATCTCTTTGTTGATTTTGGGAGTGGATATGATAGGATTAATAGGCCTAAGTTGTATGCAGCTTTAAGAGAGCTTGGAGTCCCTTTGAAATTGGTTCGGCTGATCAAGCTGATCCTATATAATTCAGGCGTACAGACCTCTGAAATCATATTCAACTGGCTCCTTCCGCTATTCGGTTGATATTGTCGCAAGATGAGTCCATAAGAAAAGCTTTTCTTAAGTTTGCGGATGCTATAAAGGATATGGAGATATATGTTAACCAGGAGTAGACAAAAATCTCCATGGAATCCAGTCAATGACTCATCAAAGCCAACAAGTGCTATTTTGGTCTCAGAAAGCACCTGAGAAGTTCCTACCTCTCCCGCCATACTAAGTGCCTCTTATAAGACCTGTTCAAACTTATGGATCAGAGACTTAGACCCTCACAAGTAATGAGGAAAGGAAAATTCTTATATTCAAGAGAAAGATTATTTGACAAATATTTGGACTGGGAAGGTTTGGAGAGTCTGGAGGCAGAGGACAAATAGCAAAATTTACCAACTTTATGGCAAGGCTGACATAATGAGGTTTATCAGGTTGGTAAATCCGCGGTGGGCTCGCAACATTGCACACATTCTAGAGAAAGAAGTGCCCAGAAAACTGCTGAATGAGAGGCTCCACCGGGTGAGAGAAAGAGGAAGACACTAGTTCAGATGGGAGTTCCCTAGTTTCCTAAAAGCGGCTCTAACAATTTTGATGAAACTTTCCTATAATTTTCTAATTAATGTCCTTTCAATTTTTGTACTATGCTAAATTCCCAAGAAAATTCAGGAAAAAAAGTTATAAAGTAAAGAAAAATGTTTTGGGGCCTAACTCGCTAAGTATATATTCTATGGTAAAATTTATATACAAACTTTTGAAAAGTAATTAAATTACCTACAAATGAAAAAAAATTCATCCAAATCGAACCGTTATTGGTTATGATACAGCATATTCTATTTTCTATGCATGTTTTAATTTTTTGCTTTCCTACCTATACTAGGTAAGGAAAGTATTGCGATTGGTTGAAAAATACATTTTAGGTTTTTTTTTTTTTTTTTAAGGTAATGAAATTCCATACAAAAATATATAAAAATCATTCATTTCTGACAACTATTAACAAAGTTATTGCTATTCAATTTCGTATTTAAGATTACGAGTTCAAATTCTGTTGCCAAAAAGGCGTGAAAGTGTATTGAATTTTTTATGCTGATCTTCCACTAGCCGGTTTACATCATGTCAGTTTATCAAAGAAGTCGTAGTCAAATTTTTTCTTTTATAAATTTTCAGGAAAATAAATATAATTTAATATTTTTTGTTTTTTAATGAACATATTTCAAGATATAAAAACTTTTCTGAAATCGGTTGAAAAGTCATATGAGTGGACACAATAGATTTTTATAATCTAATCATTACTAATAATTAAAATTGAATATCCACACAAGTACCTTATTGAGTCCTGTTTTTTTATCATTAGAGATCAGTTCTACTCACATTCATATAACACTCATAATATAAATGATTAAAAAGTTGTGAAACACATAAATGAGTCTCAGCTGGTTTCCTGGACTGTTAGATTAGTTATTTTGACAATTTTCAGTTATTAATAGATAAGGATGGAGAGTTATGTTATTTAACTTGAGTTATCTACCAAAGGAAGAAGAAGCCTGTAAACAATAAGTTTTTTAATTCAAATTGAATATTCATGCTCTTGGATCTCCTATATCTAAAATATTGGTTTTAAAAATAAATTGTTTACGAGCTAACTACCAACAATTATCTATAATAAATCAATTTTAGTAATATTAAACCTATTGGAAATAGTTGTTATTCCCAATTGGTATGTTACAGCTTGTTCAGAATCTTAAAGAATGGAAAGTTTTGTTAAAAATCCTTCTAGAATGGAGATCTGAGTAGTGAATATTCAAATATTGACCATTTAAGGTGTCTTTAAGATCAATGATTTTAACATGAAACATAGATTTTTATTTATTTTGTTGTTTTTTTTATTGCTCATAATTTAATCTCTATCTTAATCATTTTTTTTTTTTTCTAGAATTTGTGCGTTATAGAATGCCTTATAGATTGGTACCTGTAATAACGGATGACGGTTTAGATTCATTTCTAAATGGTTGGAATGATAATAAAGTGAGGGCTCTTGTTTTTCAAAGAACAGAATCTTTAAGGCTTAGGTACCTCACTACAGCTTTCTACCACAGGGAAAGAGTTGCATTTGGGTAACTAAATATTTTTCAGTGTTCTTTTTCCCTATTCCCATTTTTTGTAATTGTAATAATTATATTTTATTTATCTTAAACCAAACAACTTATAGTTTGGGTAGTTAGCATTGAGCGTTGTTATTAGCAGTAACCTTTTTATAAATATTTGTAATTACAATTCATACTTCATAATATCTAGTCTGTTAGTTATTATAAATCTTGTTTTCTGAATGTTAGTACTGTATTGCATCTAATTAAAGACACCCTTTCTTTGATATAAATTGAATTTTAAAACAGTCTGCATAATAAATTCTATGAGATTTTAAATTTGGTATCTGAAACATGATTTATCCAATTCATCTGTATGTTATTTTTAAAATAATACTAGATTAATTTCGACTATAAATTTTAAATCTGAACAATTATAAAATATGTTATCATCAACAACAAAATTTATACATAAGTACTTTGTATCATTTAAAGAAAACAATTAGAAATAGTTTCCTATTTTTATTATTTGAAATTGTATTTCTTTGTGTTTTTTCAATGCCTTAAGTAGTTTTATCTTAAATTAATGGCATATTATGTTTGATATAGTATGTTATTATTAAAATAATATTTTATATACTAGATATATATATTTATATACGAAGTAAACATGTCTGTCGTATTATTTAAGGAAAAAAATAATATGTCTACTAATATTTTACAAAATGTTGGTTTAGATTTGTTCCACCTGGAATAAAAACGGAGGGTATAAGGAGCAAATATCAAGTGTCTAGTGAACAAGATGCTTTACTGGTGTTTAACGAAAATACCGAGAGGCCTGTAGCGTCAGTCAGTATGTCCGATATTCCAGTACCCACTATGCACGATGTTATCAAGAGTAACAACTATCTACTTTTACCAAGATTATCTTCTCAGGTTGGATTTGGAACTTTTTTTATTAAGTTAATTTAATATTTCTTATTTAATAGGCATTTATGAAAATTTGTGAATAGGAATTGTTTATTTTTTTATATTGAAGCCTGATAAGAGTTAACTGCGAGGCATTGGTTTGTGGGCTGTTCGCATTGCCTAAGAGAGACTAAGGATTTGAAATAAATGTTGATTAGGTAGGCAGTGAACTCAGATTTGAATTTTATTAAGTATAAATGCTGGCAAAAACTTTTTTAAATCAATCTAAACTACTTATGTCTACAAAGAATTTTGTTTGGCCGAAATTCTCTGTCTCAAATAAAACTATCTCCTCTTTTACTTGAAATGTACAAAACCTAGTTTTTAATCAAACTGTATTGATAAATTGCTAATTTATTTTCTGATTTCACAGACATTATTGGATGATCTATGTCCAAGTGGTCTGCCTTGGTCACGTAGAAAACTGTGTGTTGTTCTGGTTTGTGGTGAAACATCCTCTCATGAACCTCATAGGCAATCCTTGCGGAGGTTCGCTCTTGAATCTCGTTACTCCAAAGAAAGAGTGAGATTCATGTATGTCTACCAAGAGAGGCAACCACATTTTATATCAGCCCTCACATCAGGTATTTCTAATTACTTTTCTATTATGGTATGGGAATCCTAGAATAAAATTTAAAAAATCTTTAACCAACATGCCTTATTTTTCAATCTTAATTTTTATCTATATTGGTCAATCTGGTTCTTTTTTTAGTAAATTCTGTAATAGTAAAGAAGGAACTTATTGATTAATATATTCAGAAAAAGTAGAACAAAGTAAGATAGACATATAGGAACTCATCTTAAAAAATTAAGGATCGGCTGTTCAAAATATAGATATTGAAAAAATTTGGCTGCAATGTTGCTTTCATTAAATGATCATTTATTTCTGATATTTTCATTTAATGTTTTCTTCAATGATTGTTAAGTTTAATTAATATTGACCACCAGTTAGGACTTCATTGTTTCATTATATTATGATACTTTAATTGTAGGTAAAGACAGTCCCACAGAACCGTTACTGCATGTTGCAATTCTTTGTCGAAGAGATGTGTCCCATGTTAAGTATGAGTGGATTGCTGGTGATGAAACTTGGCAGAGTTACAATAGCACAAAGCATCACTTGGAACTGGCTATAGACAGGGTTCTCCACACCTCACAGGTGGTTATTATACTTTAAGATTGAATATATTGTTTTTTTTTCTTATGTTTATTTATATTTTAAAAATATTCTGATCATTTTCATGGCAAACCAGTCACTTTTTTATAATTTTTCAAATCACTGAAAATCTATATATATATTGTGAAACATTCTAAATACTCATTTGAAAAATAATTAAATCGTCTTCTTAGCTAAAGTAAAAAAAAAAAAAAAAGTCTACTAAGTAAGGCCAGTTAAGCTTCACTGTTTTCATTGGCTAAACGATATCTATATTTCAAAGTATATAATTTTTCGTAGGAGAATAAAATTTCCAGGAGAAGCCATTTTCGGAAATACTAAAATGCGAAAGAATTCTACATTTACAAATCGTGTATTTGATGAATCATCATGATTTAAAAAGAAAATCCCAGTACATAATGAAGATATCAACCGATACTGTTAGTGCAAAAAGTCGTTTGTAAAAATTGAGTATTTGAGCATCAAAAATAATTATTTCTTTATGATTTATAGATCTAATTTCATGTTATATTTTGCTCTGCTATCTTCCATAGTACAAGGCTACTTCTATCAATTGCATATTACGAAATGTCACCTATAGCACTAATAGAAAAAAATGGTGAATTGTTACATACAACCTTTTACACTAGGTATGCTTTCACTAGTAAAATGGATCGAACAAAAAATCCATTTAGGATTTTTTTTTTCCTAAATTTTATCATGAATGATGAACCTATTTTTAGGTTTAAGAAAAATGGAGCTACCCCTTATTTTTAAGTAAAGGGACTACCGATCACTCAAAAGGTTAAGAATTAATAAAATCTATAGCTTCTTAGACATTCTTTTCTTCTAATTAGTTGTTTTAGAGGTTTTAAGCTGATTGTGATGTTGAGTTTCTGTAACACATGTTTTGTGCTTGGAAAAATTTTAGTTCATAGGAAAATTTTGATGTTCCTGTTCCAATAAGGGTAATTAACCAATGTTTTGTCACACAGCAGTAAAATTAAATATAATTTAGCCAATTTAATTATATTCCACTAAAAAAAATAAATTGATAATCAAGTTTGTTGAATCGGAGAAGTTTATTAAGTTAAGTTTAAGGTTAGAACTGTATCTAATTATGATTTGATGCAATCAATCTTAAATCTATAACAAAAATTAAGACCAATTAAATTTGATTGAAGAACATTTTACATCACATATTAGAAAAATCAGAATATTTGTTCTTGGAAAAATATTTTGAATACATACTCTTTTTTACATAACTCCTTGTTTAATTTTTGTTAGTTTTAAATTATGATATATATGTTTTTATAAGTTGAAAATTGTATTATCCAGTCTAAATCTGGAATTAAAAACTATTAATTTTTTTTAAAGATTCAATTTTATAACATAATTTATATTTCTGGTTCTCTTTAATTCTGGTAACCAGGAATCTTCAACCAGTATCTTTCTTCCTTCTTCTAATTTTGAAGTAAATTTATAAACTTTCTAAGGCATTGCCCAATGAAGCAGTAATCGGAGAACTTATCGATGAGCAGACTCAAGGTATTGTCGCTCGTGTGATTACAAAAATACTTCATGCTATTGACTACCTTCAGGAAAACGTTAGTAAAGAGCATGTGTTGCCTGTTCTATCGGTCATCGGAACAGTGGCATTCATCTGTATAGCTGCTTACTCTATGTCTTATCTCATGTAAGTTCTCATCTTAATGTATTTCTTAAGAGTTAGTAGCTAAAAAAACTTTAAAAATAGATACTAGAAAACACTTGGTCTTGTTAAATTTAAATTGTTGGTTAAATCATAAAAAATATTAAAAATCAAGAGAAAGTAGGGAAATAATTTTAAAAATATATCTTATAATTCACTTTTGTTTGATCAATTGTCCTTATCTCAACTTTTTTATAACAAAAAATTTCTTGAAAACTCAGATTAACAAATAATAAATATAGATTTATCTGCAACCTATGCGATTTGTCCCAATGGAAGTATAATTTTTATTTTTTTTCTGAGAAATTGAGATTTGATAGATTAACGTTGTGTTATTAAATAAATGTTTTCTTACTGATATTAAACATATTTTCTTTATTTGCTAATGAATAAATCTAGTATAGGTTTTGAATATGCACAAACAAAAAATTAATAATGTTTTTACTTTTTTTGATGTCAGATGTGTCTATAATCTATTTAGCTGTTCACACAACTTAATTTTCATATTAACTTATTATCTTATGTCTTGAAAATCATTTCTGGTAGCTCTAACCAGTCTGTCATAATATCCAATATTGCAGTTGATCCAATTATTTGGTATTCACATTATGCAGAATCAACTGCCTATTATTATTTTATTTACAATTTTTTACTTTCACTTACCTATTATTTGACCTCACCCCCATCTCCCCCCTTTTTTCCCGATCAACTCCTTCTCATATTATGCGGTCCGAATATTCTACACAATACTTTATTTTCAAAAACCTTAAGACGCTGCTCATCCCTTAATGTAAGCGGCCAAGTTTCGCATCCATAAAGAACTGTAGGCAAGATAATTGTTTTATAGATTCTAATTTTTAAGTTCCGGGACAAGAGGCGCGAACTAAGTAGTTTTGTCACAGAAAAATAAGAAGCATTTCCCGCCTTCAGTCTAACCTTATTCTCTTCTTCAATTTCGTTTTTTCTAGTTATCGTAGAACCTAGATACCTAAACTTATCTACCTGTTCAAACATATTACCATCAATATCGAAATCACGAGTAGTATCGCCATTTTTGCAGCTAACCATATATTTTGTTTTATCCACGTTTATTTCGAGTCCTAGTTCTTTACTGGCTTTCATTAACGTTGTCGTATTTAGTTTTATAGTTTCAACGTCTTCGCTTAACAGTTCCAGATCATCAGCATAGCCCAGCACTGATGTCCCACCCAGATCCAACCCTTTACATGTACCTAAAAAAATAAAAATACCCACAATGAAATAATACTATAAATAAATATAGCTGCTTTCTTTATCAGTTGCACTTTGTCATATAATACTTATTTCTGCTAAGAAAAGAGTGGTAAGTGAAAGGTGTGTGATGCCCTCACCGCACCAGATTTTTTAAAATTATACTTGTATATTTTTAAAAATTGACTGGATTAGATAAAATATGAAAACATTAAATATATAGCTTACATTTGAATCCTACAGGAAGCTGGAGGAAAAACGTGTTAAGGAGTCTTATGGTAGCTCTGGGTTTGGAGGAAAAAACATTAATGGGTATCAGCCTCAACTGAAAATTCATGAAATGAGAGCAGAAACTTATAATGGGCTTGTACGACTTCTCAGGCCTGGCTGCCGGACAATACTTCTCATCGTTGATAACCAATCCATTGCAAAACTTCTTCCTAGTTTTCATAAATATGTCTGGCCATATAGAAAGTGAGTTTTCAAATAATAAAAGTTATATTGGAAATGTGAGTTTTCATTCTTTCAAATTATTTATTGAATTATAAACTAATTAAATAGTCTTTTCTTTTTTTTTTTTAATATAAATTTTGGTAGTACTTTTAAGGTTATTTTGAACATTAAGTATGATGTGATATCAGTAATATGTTATTAGCGTTCATAATGTAATCATCGTTACCATGTCATGATTATTTCTTAAGTTTGTGTGTTTATTTTGAACGAAGTTATAATATTAACATTTTAAGAAATATAAAAATTAATAACTCTATAATAGAGCTTGCTAATTGAAGTTTAATTTAATGATTTATTGAACTTGCTAAATTGAAGTGAATTCACTAGATTGGTGTGAAATTAGTTGAATATGTAGCATGCATTCTGCCCTTTATAGTGCATAATTACATTATTATTTAGTAAAACTATGATTAAATTGAAATAACTATAAAATAAAAGTATTAACTGATGTTTACAATGAATCATATTAAACACAGAAAATAATATTACTTATAGTGCTAAAAGAATTGCTATACTTAATTGAATAAGAAAAATCAATTCTATGTTATTGCGAGATTCTATACCCAAAACCAATTATAAAAAATTTACTTGCTATATTATAAGAAACCTAACATCTTGATTAGATCCATTAGAAATCTCAGAACCTAATTATCAATGATTTTGGCAATATTATCTTGACCAAAGATTTCTGAAACATTGTAAAAATTCTAATACCAAAATTTCTAGGGACAGAAACAAAAAAAAAAAAAAATTGATAAATTCCTCATACTGCTAAACTATACAAAGTTCTGTTTTTCACAAACTGAAGAAACTATATATTGTTCTGTTTATGTTACCTTAATAACAGAAAGTATTTAATAATTTGGCAGAGATCTATTTTTATTTTTAAAAATAATGATCTTGGTTGGTTAGAAACAAGCAGTTTTTAATTATGTTGTCATTATGTAGCGGTTGTGACAGCAGTTACAAAAAGTACAAAAGTTAAGTTATGGTGTTTTTAGGTATATTTTTTCTTTCTTTGTCTTTCAAGCTGAAGCCCCATCCCTTCCCCGAAAGCAATGCTGCCCGAGATCCCCTTCCCCGGGTATGTGAGACCTGTCAGACTACTGGAGCCAACTCACACCGACTGGGCATAGGACTGATGACACTACTCTCATGTACTTAAATCAGAAATCGAGATGTGGTCTAGGAGAACACATTTCGTGGTCAAAGATCTTCATGGTCTGTAGTGCCAACAAAAAAAAAAAAAAAAAAAAAAAAAATATATATATATATATATATATATATATATATATATATATATATAGATAGATTAATATATTGATACATATACAGCTACTAAATATAATATAACCATGTTTTATTATTTCTGTATATAAAAAAAAAATAAAAAATAAAAAAAAAAAAACTTTCAAGCTAAGCTGAAAGCTGAAGGCCTCCATCCCCTAAAAATTAAATCCTGGATCTACCACTGATTAGTTATCATTTTTATATACAATTGCCTATTTTTATTTTTATTGGCAATAAAAAACCATGAATGCAAACAAATTTTTGTATTTGTTACATTTTACTATATTGTTAATGTTTCGGGATCTATTTTCCCATATTTTAGTTCTTAAAAATTAATTCATGTTATTTTTTTAAACATTAATAAATATGTATTTATACAATTTGTTTTTCAGATTGTTATAATTAGAGACCGGATTTTCGTGCAGTATAAATCCAAAATATGTAAAATTGTATAATTAACCCCTAAAACCGTGTAAAATCATCAACATTGTTTAATTTATATCTTATCAACATTATTTAATCTTATCAGATATTGAGTTAACCGAGAGATAAAAATAAAAAATTAAATTAAATCGTAACATTGAAAATGAAATTCTAGATTATAATCTACTATTATAATAATGATTATTATCACATAAATTAAGGAAGGAATTATAGGTGCCTTTGTATATATTACATAGATCAGACCCATTTTAGATAAATAACTTTTATTAAAAATAATAATTAAAACTTTCTTTTTTAATAAAGTTGAAGTTTCCAACATTATACATTCCCAAACGTTTTTGTTAAAATTTGAACAATTTTGAAATGGATTGTAATATTTGAGATTTTCAAGTTTTCAAAAATTAGTTAATAAACATTCAATTCTTTGATAAGAATATATTTTTCTTACTTGTTCTCCAATGAGCGTCTATCAGTGATTTCCTATCACCTGATTGATTCATAAAGTAATTAATTTTTGATGGGAGACTAGATTTTACTTTCAGCAATATATATATATATATATATATATATATATATATATATATATATATATATATATACTTTATTATTTTTTTTTTTTTTTTTATATGAATTAAATTTCTGCAAATCAATTCAAAGCCAGGAGTGATACTGAAGGGTTGAATGGTGAGTGAGAATTCACTCCTAAACAATAACAGTAAATGCCTTCCTAACAAGGCAGCTAATTCTAGGAAAGCAGCTTTATATTATCCAATATTTTAGGCAAGTTCTATTCTAAGAATAGATCTCACTTGTGTTTACTTCTTCCTTTTGTTGTAATGAATACAATTTTTGTTTCTCACAGAATTATTTGCCTTCCTCATATTTTTCTGTTTTGAATAATGAATTTAATTTGAACAATATAGTAAAATAAATATTAACACACTCACTTATACTTTTGTATTTATAAATCATCTAATTTAGCACAAAAGTGCAAACATGTGCAAATTAATGCAACAAAAATCTAAATCGTGCAATTTAAGCCAAAACCTGCAATTTTGTGCAATATAAAATTTAAGTATGTTATTCTACAGGTTCTGAAACGGATAGACGTTCGGGTCCGGAGTTTTTACACACAAGTGAATAAAAAGTGCAATAATATGGAAATCAGGTTTCTAGTTATAATTATTTTGGTTAAAAAAAAAAAAATTATTTCATTAATAATCCTTCTCCCATTTATTTTATAGTTCCGAACTTTTTAGGAACACATTAGTGTTATTGAGTATTTTTTAAATATTTATATTTCATGCTTTATTACTGCATATTTTTCTACATATATGACTGTTTGTTATTGTATATTATAAGGCATATTTTGTGGGTTTTTACTGTATAAAAATCGGGCTCTGCACATAAATCTCTTCATTTTATTGTTTCAATGATCAAGAAGGAAATATCCTTCTTGATCATTGAAACAATAACACCAGCAGGCTTATTGACTGTTTAACTATCAGTTTTGTTGTGTTTTTATGTGAATTGTTTTAAAATGTTCTCAGCATGATTTAATCATAGTTTTTCAAAGTTTCAACAAAAAAATCACAGGTTGAAACTTTTTGTTATAGAAATAAAACGCTGATGTTTGCTACGCTGAATTTAGATAAACGTGGACGATCCTGGTACACAGAAATACTCTCTCAAAGCTTACTTGAGCCGAGAGAACTTACTATAAACCCTAAAAATTGTGTTGGCACTGTTCTCTCTCTCAATGGCCTTAGGAAGTATTTTTGCATGTACCATGCAAAGCATCCAGAAGGCGCTTCGAAGAAAGCCAATGCGGTAATTAATTTAACTTTAACTGTCATCGTAATCAATAGCTTTATTTTAATCCTTAAATATAATAAAATGTAGTATGAAGCTTCATGAAAATTTTCATCTTTCATTATAGTTTAACTATATTACAAAATAGTCATCTCAACCAATGTTTTGTAGGATACCTATATTATTTGTCTGATATAAAATGTCTCTAGAACAATGCATTTTTTTTTTTTTTGTGATATGAAGATTATAATTTTATTTGGAGAAGAAATCGAATCATAATTAGATTTTTATTTTTATGATATAAAAATAATTTTCGAATGGGTACCTAGAATAACACTGTTTAATTTCTTAACTTATTAAAAATCCTTTTATAATTTTTCTGGAGTGATAAAATTTAAATAAAATATAACTTGTGATTGATAGTTATTGTTTTTGGCTCAAAATAAAACTCCAAACTTTATTTATATCTTAAAATTTTAACTAGTGAGTTAAGAGTAATTACATTGTATTCACCATTAAAAAATATATATATTAAAAAATTGGTCTGCAAATGACATTTTAATTTATAGTATGTACTAATAAACTGCCACTGGACAAAACCTAAATCCATACAGTAAGAATTATATTTTATCTGTCTATTTGATCTTTAAACCATAGTCATTGTTTCAAAATATGTTAAAACAAATTTATTTGTATCATTGTTAATTTCTATTTATAAAAATGTTTATTTGTCTTTCCCTTATCTAGTCTTGCTATTGACTAAATTAAGAAAAAAATTATCAATGGCTAATTTTCACATTACACTGAACAAAATGGAACCAGTTTTAGTTTGCTAGTTCTTTTAAGCATGATAAATTGTTTTTAGTTTTATTTTGGGGGAAAAAAAAATATGGTCTAAGGTAGGAGTTTATTTGTGGCCTCAAAAACTTGCTCCAAAAGTTTGAGTTCTATTTTGCCTAAAATAAATAACTAGTTAAAGGTGCTCGACTTCTAATTCGAACAAATATAAATTATATTAATAATAAACAAATTTAAACAACATTTATTTAAAAATCTTAGGTTATTTTTATTTTTTTAAATAAAAAATTTTATTTGGCCCAAAAAATTAATTCTCATATTCCTTCCTTGATCTCAGGTTACGTGATAATATTAAAAGTTCTGTTGTTTCAAATTATTATATATTCATTCATTTATTTTATTGTTACAGAGGATGAAAAGGATAATGAATAGGCAATCGGGATCCTCTGCTTCTTTCATTGGTTTTGAAGACACCACTTCTGAAAGTGATCTGTCTGATATTGAGCAGGGTCATCGCCAGGAAAATGTAAGTTGATGGATTTTAATTTGTTTTTATTGGAAAACATTTTATTAACATTTTGAAACCTCTTAGCTCCTAGTTGTAGCCTAAATTTTTGTTCATTTGTGTTTTGTATACTGATGTTTCTGCTGATCTCAAGGCCTGACGACTAAAATTGTTGATAAATATAAATCAATAAAAGAAAAATTATCTTTACTATTTATCTTGAAGTCCTGATGGATGCCTTTGTATCATTATCTTAAAATAACCAGAATAATATTACTTTCCTCATTCCTTGGATGAGTCAAAATTTGATTGTCGTCATTAGCGCTTAGATTTTGTGCCGTAAAAAAATGATAGCACATGCAATAAAACAAAAAATCTTACCATTTATTTTTTTTAAAAAATCATGTTTTGTTTTCTTACTTAAATTTCCATTTTTTTTTTTTAATAGTTTTAGCATAGCGAAATAAAAAAATCAAGGAAATTTATAGAATTTTTTAAAAATAAAATACAAAGTTTTTGTTCAGTTCATTGTTTTAATGAACAATGTAAACAATTTATGTTTTATTTAAAACTAGCTGGTGTAGCTATCGTTGACGAGTGTATAGTTAAAATTTGAGAACCTTTTTTTGAGATGGATTTTGTATTATGGGGGGGGAGGAGGGTCCAAATTCAATTTCATAAAATTGGGTCGGAAGGAGGAAAGGGAGGTTGTTTTGAAATTTTTTATGGTGGAGCTTATGGAACTCAAGGTTTCGCAATAGTCATAATAAAAACTTTGTTATTCGGCTATTTGTTTAGGATCCATACAACTAAACCGACCACCACCGATCCATTAAAATTTTTTAAGTCTTTAATTTTCATTTATGATGAAGTGAGGAGATTGTGGAGTCGATTAATTATTCAAAAAGAGTTGTAGTCTCTCCACTTATTTGAACTCTGCTGAGTTTATTGCTGGCAAAATAACGAAAATAGTATTGGACATTGAGTCACATACATCCGTGTAAAATTAGAACTTGATCTGAATATTGTGGTGAGCAGGGTGAAATTGTTGTAGATTTTTTCCTGATTTCCAGCTAATCCGTTTGGTTAATCCTAAAAATGTATACAACATTTGTTTGGCTCGGAAAGTTGAATTGAATGACAATTTGAACGGGAAGATCGGACAAATTTGAAAAATGAGTGTGTTTTACCCGTTTTGCTTTGTGAATGAAAATAAGACCATGGAAATTTTCATTTTTCTGATTTGGAGTTCCAGATGTATCGAAATTATTTAGGTGATATATAGATACCTCTACAATATTAAAAAATATTATAGTTAATTGGGAAATCTGGAAAGAAAAATTTGTGAGGGAATCATTTATTGTATTATTTCCATAAGTTGGTATTCTAATTAAGTAATATGATCCTTGCCTGAGATTATTGGTGGCAAATGGTATTCTATATAATACGATCATCATTGACTATTGTTCGCTGATTATTTAATAAACATATTCCAGGTCCCATAAAAGCCCTAGCATTGGAGACAATGTCATCTTAATCTTGCATTTCCATCCAGTTTATATATTTATGAATTTTCAGTTTGATAGAATTTTATTATTATTATGTATATAATCCACCAATATGCTACTTATTTCCTACATGCTATACATATATATATTTAACAATTTATTTACCTCACAGGGTAAAACGGATGAGGTTATATATGTGGAACATCTTCTCGATGGACTGCCGAACTGGCTGGATAGACTGTTTGAAGGGATGACTCATCGATATTTTCTCAACTATTGGCCTGACTTTGGATCAAAATGAAATCACTTTTACTCTCAATTACTAACTCTTGTTTTGCCTTAATCAGTGATACATCACATCAAACATACATATAATTGGCTGTAATTATATTAATGATCGGACTTCCACAAATTCTGTAGGCTTAGTAATTTGTGACTAATTGTAAAAGAGTTAAAGGTTCAGAAAGAAATTGTTGAATTGGACCATCAATTAGTAATTTTTAACTATTGTTCTGATTACATAGTAGAATTAGTTTTAAAACCAAAGTGTAGAGTATGAATTGTAGCTAACTTTTAATCAAATGAAATTTTTTTCTATTTTCTAGAATCATTCTCGATTTGGGGACTGAGAAATTTCAAATTGTAATTGTTAAGATTTATTTTATTTTTGTAATATTGCCTTAAATTATTAAAACTGCTTTTTAATGAGAGTTATTGCTAGTATGATTGGTAATTTTTCAATCTTCTTTTTTTTCTTATCTGTCTTATCTCATTTCTTCCTTGAAAGGAGGATCTGAAAAGACATTTTCTGCGGTGCTATAACCTTATAAAATTATTAGTGATCATTAGTTACTAGTTGACTTTTATGATGTATTTATATAAAGAAGTCTCCTCATTTGAATAGTATGTTAGCACCTTCCTGCTTATAACTGAACAGGTTTTGAATAATAGAAACGATAATTGAAAATTTAAGCCTTTTAATTTTTAAATATATATATATTAATTTAAATATCTTTTATTTTTTTATATATCTCTTTCAAATAATTGAAAACCATTTAGTTATATCCACAGTATACTTATTCAGAATATGACAGAACTGATTATAAGTGTATAAACTACTAAATTACTGTTACTGAAGGTTAATCACCAAAATGCATGTAAAAGACAACTGTGGTGGTACAATTATATGTATGTATGTATTATATATAATACGAATATAATATAAGTACAATATGATGTACATACATATCATACTCACATTTATTTCCTGTCAATTTTGATTTCCATCGAAACAACTAGTTGAATGGCTGTATTGGTATGAAGATAATATTGATGTCTTAAAATGATTAAATAGTCATAATTTCATTTTCTTAAACATTTATTTGAATTTTTTAATTCAATTTCAATTTTTATGTGACATGTAGGTGTTGTGAAGTGAAAATTATTTTAATTTTAGAAATTATAGTATTAATTTATACCTTATTATATTTAATCACAGTGCTTGAAATATTTCATTTCTATTTCTTTCCATCTTATTCTGATGAAGTGATTAGCCTGATTAAAGAAATAGTTCTTTTGTTTTTCAACTTTAAAAGACCAAACCGTTGTAGAATATTTTTGAATATTGTAGATCATACAAATTCTTTAGTTTATAGAGATTGTGATGTGAGCGATTTGGGATCTGGCTATTAGTTTAGTTTTTCTTATTCTTATCAGTATGTTGTCGATGAAAATGATTGCCTTAGTATGATATTTTAATTTATTGTTGTGTTATTGTGAAAATAATTATGATAGTAGTAGTATTGCCACAACAGGAAAAATATTTCATAAAATTTAAATTTGTATTCAATGTTAACACATAATTGTAAGTATTCAATGTATTATTCCATTTTCACTTAATTACTTGTAAACTTTAGAAACTAAGTTGAAATTATTGAATGACCAGGAACAAATTTAGAAATAGCTAATATGTTCTTGTTTAGGTACACTGAGAAGGGGAAAAAAGTGATGACCTTTAATTATTTCTTGTGCTTTGGAATGAAATACTGATTAATATCTCCTCAGTCTTTTAAATAATCGGAGGACTTTAGAAAAAAATAATTAATTATTTAAATTAAATAGAAATTAAAGAAGTATTTCCACTTGTATTCCTTAGAAAATTTTAATTTGATTGATGAGAGTTTCCCCTCTAATGAGCTTTTGAATAAAATGTCTATTGATATCAATCCCATTTATGTTCAATAAAGTGTACTTCATGAAAGATTAGTCACTTTTTTGCCTCTCAGGATCTTGTCAAGGTATGAACATCTCAGAAATTAATATTTAAAATATCAGTTGTTTTAAATAGTTCTTATTGACAAGGCATACATCATGTTTTTTCTTCGTCAATTTTAATTAATGTTATAATTCTGTTTTTATTTCACATTTTTGAAATAATTTTTTTTTTATTACAAATACTTATCATATTGTTATGTTTGTAATGTTTTTGTGTGTTTTTTAATATAATTCATTGTGTAGGATAACAAGTGTAATTTTGATCAAAAAGAAGTCTTTCTAGCTGAAAAAAAAGCTCAATTAACCAAAGTAAACCTACTTTATAAGTTCTTAACTTTTATTTATCAAAAGATTTATTCGTTTGCAGGCAATAGTAGGCAAATCATACATTACTCATCTATATTATTTATAATGTGTCCACATCTTTGTAATTATGTAATTATATATTTTTAAATACAAGCTAGTCATTGCTGTGTTCATATCTTTGTTGATATTGTTATTGTTTCAGAGTTATGAAACAACTGGAACTTTATTTATATTCTTCTTGTTTAGAGTTTTTGTTTTAGAAAATTTCATTAATTGTTGCATTTTATATTTTATGTTCAATCTCATTATGTTTAAGTTTAAATCATGTAATTTATCATTTCATGTGTTGAAAGGAATTTTATCAAGGATAGATAAAAAAAATCTCAATTAAATAAATATTTATTTAGATTGTTTAATTACTTTATCCATATGCCTTATCTTCTGTTCTGTATATTAGGTAAATATTTTTATTTTTTGATTATTAAACAATAACAACAGTTTCTTTAACAATTGTTAGAAAATATTGGGTCTTCCCAAAAATACTGAACTAAATTAGATAAAAATTCATCACTGCTGGATATCAAAATAATAATCTGTTTACAGAAAAATAAAAATGTAATATGATACTTACAGAACACTTCACATGAAAATAATTTTTGTTTTTTAAAATTTAAATACATTAGTTCTACTAAGATTAGAAAAAAAAAATGAGTTATTTAATCCATGACAGAAGTTGAATTAGAGGAAGCATGCATGCCGATATATAAAATACTGTTTATCAACCAGCCTTATTACCAAAATAGTAAAAACACATTTACCAGCTCTGTAACACTCCCATGTTTTCAATGTTTCATGGAGCTCTGCAACCAATCCAGTGTCCTGATGATTTTTTAACATCCATTTTACCTCTATTAAATTTCTTATAAATATTTTCAAACATTGGTACTGTACCACTTCCTCATCTATTAAAGAGGAAGGAGGTTGATTTACTTTCGAAGGAAGCTTTAATTAGAACTATATCTGTATAACAATTAAACAACTAAGGAATCTCAGTTTGTCTAAAATCAAATTTGAATTTTTAACTAAAATTATCCATAGAATTGTACAGAGAAAATAGTTTTGCCAATTTTTTATTTTATCTTTGGTTAAACCGCCTGCATTCCAAAAGATAGCTTTGAGTTGAGCCTTGCCTAAGTCTTTAGAAAGCTTGCGAGCATTTGGCCGTTTTTGATAGGGCCTGGGCATGTTTTGCTTTGTATATTGGACTGAGTTGGCGATAAATGTGATCGTTTACTTACCGTGTTTACGGGTTATCCAGGGGGCACGTGGACTAACTGTCCGGACGCGATCATTTCACCCTTTAAATAGTTTTTATTTTATTTTATAAAAATAAAACTATCTAGTTGTAGTTATATACTGATTGATGCACTGTTGTTTAAAAGGAATTGTTTAAAGTTAACATTATGTCCTTAGACATAATGACAGGAGAACATCTTGATACATGCCCTGCATTACAGGACATAAGATGTTGCTTTAATGAAATGGACAGCTTTTATGCTCGAAAAGCAAAATTGTATTGGACTGCAAGAACACGCATGGCTAATGAAGCAGGCGATACTTAGGCGTAGGAAAAAAAAAATTTTTATTTTAATACTTTTCTCAAACTGTTCTGATACTTTTAAAATTAGACATCAGACTGTTGTACTGAGGTAGGAATATGTACAATCGTTCATAAAAATGGAACAAACCTTTCTTAAGTATGGCTTAATCCCCACCAGGAACTGAATGTTAGAAGTAATAAGCCCCACCCCTAAAGAATTTTTAAATTAAACAACTTTTTCTAAAAAGTTACATCAAAATCAGGTCCAGTTATTCTAAAATGGAGCCAAACTAGAAGGAGGATCAGTGACTGATATATCTCTACAGTATTTCCTTGAGACTGATTCATCACATGAGGTTTTTTTTCTCATGCACATTGAACATTGAACCATACTATATAAGAATCCATTTTTTTTTTTTTTTTTTTTTGTCATTTTCTCATTATGAAAGTATCCAAATTTTAATTAAAAATAAAATTAGACTTAAAACAATGTAATTACATTTAATCTATTATAAACTATCTAAAATACTTCAGTAATTGTAAAAAAAAATAATAATAAAAACAGATCCAACGAAACTGTGTATTGGACGGGAACTAATTAATACCATAATTAGGATTTGTAATGCATTCAAGATGATATATCTCAATTGTCAGATCTTGTTGCTATTTTTTATACCATAGTCTGGTATGGTTGGTCCCGGTCGACAGTAGTTACCGATAGCAAGAACATCCTATTGGGTGTTCAGAATCATCTACTGGTCTTGGTGGTGACCAGTTCACTGGAATTTCATTACATGTGCATTTTTCCTAAAATAAGATTAAATAAATTAAATTAAACAAACGAATTTACATCGATTAAGTTATCTTAATATTTCATAAATTAATTTAATTTTAAAACAGTTAAAAGGAAGATAACTGTTCTATGGTATAACTATAGCTAAAAAAATAATCAAATATAGGGTCCCTTAATAAGTGGGGTCTGCTCTGAGTTTATTTTTTAGAACCCCTATAAAAACAATAAATAAAAAACTTTTATTTAAAATTAAAAAGCAATAAAGGATGGACAGACAATTTATTTTTAACGTGCTTTTCGGATAGAATCCAGATAAAATATGCATATATATTCTATAGAATATACATAGAATTGTATCTTGAAAATTGAAAACAAATTTTGAAGGGACTAATTTGTTTTTCTTGGTCAATTAAAAAGGTAGTTATTAAAATGAATAAACCAAAAAGAAATGTTTGCTATATCTACCACCATTTTTGTTGCTTTTAATGTCCAGTTGAGAATGTAGAAAACTGGATATAATATGAACCATTTCCAAACAATGAAGTAAATTAAAATATATATATACTTGGAGAAATTGTTGACATACACTTATAATCACTGCCATCTTCATTAGTACTATAATGGTGATTATCTCAAAAAGTAGGGCTGATAGAAAAAAAATGATTCCATACTTAGGATTCAGTGCCCCAAATATAGCTAAAATCAGTTCCCAAATCCTAGGCACCAAAAAAATTGTTTTCTCCAGTGTAATTTTTACTTTCACTTACCTATTTATGAAAAATTTTCCTATTCAAAGTAGGACAGGAACTGTTATGTGATGCATCCACAACACCAATTTTTTTTTAGGTCAATAATAATTTTTCTACAGACATTTCATACAACATTTTTCAATGAGAGGATAACAGTTTTTATTAAAAATTGTCGGTTTTTAATTTTTACAATTTTTTTTCGGGAAGGACCTCAAATATCAATCCGCTCTTGTCCCAAAATGTCTAGGTATTCCACTTTGGCAACACATTAATTTAATGTGAATGTTTAGCTATTATGTTAAACAATTAAATAAACCAAGACCAAAAAGGGAAATCTCTAATGTGGGAGGGTGTATTCCTTGTGTTTCTCCCTTATGATCAACCACCACATGTTTAACAGCAGAATTTAGTTATTTTGAAGATTTTAAATATGGCTTAGCATATAAAATTTTATTTTAACTTAATAAACTTAAGACAGAATGAAACTAACAGTTTTGTTTAAGGGTGAAAAGCTGTGGTCATATGGGATCATTTTAACCTCAGAATAAAAATAATCCTGAGAGGCTCTGGGACCTAGCAGAAAAAGAAGGCTATGCTTGATAACTTAAAATGATACTGAAAAAACACCAACTGAAGCCAATAAATAATAGTCTTTATCGTCGACATATGAATGCTCCCTAGCAGCATATTTGATAGAGAATATTGCATTTCTTAATTAAAACAGGAGGCTATAATTGATTGGCCACAAATCTGCCAAAAAGGTAAGGTGTATTCCACCTCTATTCAATGTCAGTCAAGAAGATGGTAAATCTGGTCCAGATGAACCCAAAAATGGGTAAATTAATTCCCATAAGGTCTTTGATGCCAACAGGAAACAAAAAAAAATTAAATATATTGAGAACTAATATACAATTATTATTCTGTTATGTATAAGAAACCCGATGAATTTCTTTTTCAAATAATATAACGCATGAAACACCCATCAGCACCACAGGCGGATATACGGGGGAGCCTTTCGGGCTGAAGCCCCTCCTCCCCCCCTCCAAAAATGGTAAAATATAACCATTTTTTACAGAAAAAAATATTAAAAACTATCTCTTAAAGTATTCTTGTTCGTTTAATTACATTTAATAGGACTTCAAGAACCACTTAAACACCATTTCATATAGGTAGTTATTAATTTCTTTCTTTGTTTTTCAAATTAATTATCGTTATATGTATATGAAAAAAAAATCTTTCGGGCTGAAGCCCCCCCCAAAATTAAATCCTGGATCCGCTAGTGATCAGCACCGCCCTTGAGGTGGAGCAAAAGGGGCGCCGACCTGAAGCAGCACTGGTTGTGGGAGGTCGCCGACCTTCAAAGGCGGCTTGCCACTTGTTAGAAATTTAAAAAAATTTAAATCGTATTATAATAATTAATGTTAGCCCATCAATAAAGCGACTGCATTAGAGAAATGTTGACTGAAATAAAATTCAAATATTACATAATTTGAAACAGCTTAAGAAATAAATTAAATATTTTGGGGGAAGGAGGGCTAGCGTCATTGCCCGTGGGGCGCCAAACCGTGGGGGTGTCAAAGCCGGCATTGACACCCAAAGCGAGTACGTTAAAAATGTGAATTAACAAATTATCATAAAACACTCATTTGCAATTTTTATGTGACAGGTTACAAATTAGTAAATACTGTATTACTGCTATAGTTAAAAATTATTTTACTGACCTCCTCAATAATTTCAGTTGGCGGTGGAGGAGGGGTCTCTATCGGAGGAACTGTCGGTTCAATATTGGTCTCAAACTCATTCTTATCCAACGCTTCGAAATTCGAATTACAGCAGGCGCAAGGGTCTTCTACTACAGGTTTCGCCTGAGACGGATCAGCTTTTCTTAGGATGTTCTTACAATGCCTCACCGCCCACCCTATGCCCAACCCGGTGCCAACCACCATCGGCATTTCTAAACATTGATCAGTATTAATTATCTCTACACAAAGGTAATTAATTATTTATCAATTGTGAACATAAGACTAACTAACCGCTTACAACGACGGCTGATCCGATGGCACCCACGATTATTCCAATAGCTGTGAAAATAAGTCATGATTAATAACGGAAAAGTATAAACATATATTTATTAGTGAACAGAATAGCATTATGGGCCATTCGCCCGAAATGGTAAATTTCTATTCCTACTGCTTGATTAAAGAAAAAAACGTACATAACTGCGTAATATAAAAAATAAAAATAAAACGTATATACGTTACGTTACCACACACACACACATATATATACTGAATAGTCAAAATCCCAGCCCCCTGGAATGATCCTTGCGTTATATATAGTTTCTTGAATCATTGAGAGCAGCTTATGAGAGTGAACTACAAGATTAATTATTTTTTGGAAGATTTATCAATATGTACACCAGAAACCTTTGTGGTTGTAGTCAATTTGAGAAAAGTTATCTTCCAAAGAATTGTAAGTGTCCACAAGAATTTAACCTAGTCTTTGAATAATCCGCCAATTTGAGGAATATTGGAGAGATATTTTTTGAAAACAGTCGCTAAGATAGGCAGGATGGAGAAGGATGATCCAGGCTATCAAAGATCTACTAAATATGTAAAGCCAACAGAAAATATAACTATTCATTTACTCAAATCTCCCCTCACAGGCTATATTCCTAATGTATTGCACCGCTTGTATTGGCGTTATTTTGCTATTAAACTTAAGGATATTCGAATCGACTTAAGGAAGTTCTATTTTGTTTTTACGAATGACTCTATATTAGCACATCTAGACCGGAGAAATTAGTGGCATAATAATTAATAAAGATTTAGTATGTTTGTGAAGTTTAATAAAATATTAAAAAACGAAACAAATAGTTAAGGAATAGTCCAATTAGGTATTATACTGCATTAATATGGGCTTAAATTGTGGCCTAAACTATTAAGCTACATCAATGTTAACCAAAAGACAGAAAACAAACGCATGACAGAATGATGATCTCAGTTTACGTTTCATTCGAACCTTAGGTTCCCTTCTCCTTTCCCCCAGACTCCTTCCCTTCTCCGGGTCGGATTTGAACCTAGACACAATTTGCTAACGTGACAATGCATTAGCACTCCCGATCATCACTGCCTCAAATCCAAGTACTTTAACAATTACAATAAGTTCACCGCTTCAAATGGTGTAAATAGAATAATTTAGGTCAGTAATCTTTAACAGTTATTTCATCGCCTACTTTTTTTCTGTTGGTATTACAGTCCATGTTGATCTTTTATCCCTTTAACAAGCCTGCTCCATCTCTGTATGTCTTGGGATATTTCTTTCCATTTATCTGCACGCAGCCCGATTACATATTTATTGATTCTATCTATCCATTAGCTTTTTGGCCTTTCACGTGGTCCTTTACATTCTATTGAGACATTCATTGCTACGTAGAGGCTTCCAGATGGATTATTGCACTTTTTTGAAGGGTGCTGGTTAGTGTCCAGGTCCGACAGCCATATATTAGAACTTTACCATAGCATTGTACAACATTAATTTGAGATTTCTTGGGATTTTAATACCTTTGAAAGGGAGAAGAAAGCATATATACTATCTAAAATGAAATCCTGAATCCGCCTCTGCAAGGCGTATTAATTATATATCGTAAGCCGAATATCGATTAAAAATTGTTCAAGCATATCGAAATCAGAATTACAAAATCGAAAAGATGCTCCAAAATAAAGCATAATGACAGTAGTAGGGACAATATTAAAAAAATATTTGTGGTCATGAATTCTCGACACACGGTTAGTAGTACATAAAAGAAGCCCCCACGGTTTTCTTAAACTAAGGTCGCGAGTAGATCACTGACTGTACCTATTGCTTTGACATATTGAGGGGTGGCTGTTCAAAACTTTACATTCTTGGAGCATAAAATCAATAAACATACTAATGTTTATTGACTTTGTGCTTTTAATTCAAGAATCGAGATGGTAGAAGGAATTCACAAACATATTCAAGAAATTAAATGTATTGATTTAAAATTTGAAATTTTGAATACAATAAAAATTACCTGACAATTACATATTGCAAATTATTTCAATATTTATTTCGAATAATTTACTTTCCAGTTAATCTAGTTCAGAGTGTTATTAAAATATACGGGGAAACTGCCAGTAGAAATATTGAGTTACGAACTCTTGATTACAAAAATCTGCAACTAGAGAAATGGAATTGACTCTGCCCTGAAGTATATATCACATGTACGCGTGTAAATAACCTCAACCAAAATTAACGTAAAACAATTATCAGTACCAACTCTCCATGTTCCGTGCCTTACACACTTGTCCCAATCTTCTCTTCTGATGCCCTCTTTACAGGGCTCAGGTGGAGGCGGAGAACTCATTCTTCAATATGTCCTTCTTGAGCATAGGTAACATTTTTTACTAACTATTTTAAACAGAAGTTTCCATTTTGACATAGGGCTGGTGACCATGGTAACAATTTTAGCTAACTTTTTCTTACTGTTCTAATTTGGCATTGAGTTCGGTAACATAATTTTTACAGTTTCGGGGGAAAAAATATTCTCGAGCTTGCAAGGTTTCAGTTCTTGATTTTTTCTAATCCAGAGAACTATAACAGATGTTTTCGAAACAAAAATATGATCTGAGAATAATCTTTAATATACTCAGGAACGTTATCGAATCAGTAATCTTTTAGCAGAGAGATTTAACCCTATGTTGGAAACAAGATCTTATAAGCATGATATATTCAATTGACCATTAATATGTTAAGTTATGAGCCTAATTAAAAAAAAGGACTAATTTTATGTTAGTTTCGTGGATATAATCTTGGCCTTGAAATACATGTGAGTATATCCCGTTCCAAGATGAGGGTGTAACAGTATGGCAACTACCTAGTGGATGACTGTTAAATCAAGATGGAAATTTCTTAACCTTGTGCGAGACAGATTCTTATGGAACTTGGAATTTGTAATAAGGTACCAAACCTATTTAAATAATGTAGAAGTAGTTTTTCAACAACTTTAATATTCTTCCCTCATAGGATAATGATCAGATGAACCTCATATTTATAAAAAGAGCTTTCCCTAAACATATCTTTATTTACTCTAAACTAACATGTATAATGGCATTTTTTGGTTCTAAACTACCTTTTCAACATCATTTAATTATATCGTTTATCAATACCTTTTGTCTTACAAACATCTTTTTATTAAAAGAAAGGGGTTGTCCGGAAAATAATGGAGGATTTAGATTTAAAAAGAAAGATTTACAACTGTTTTATTTAATCAAAATGGTCTCCACTACTATCAATACACTACTATTCCATTCCTCGAGAATAGAATTTTCCATCTTTAGAATTGAAAAACTCTAAAAACGCATTTTCTAATTCCATTTGCCCATTAAATTTTTCGTCACGTAAGTAGAGTAAAAAAAAATGATAATCCGTAGGCTAGAGGTCTGGAGAGTAGAGCGGATGTGGAGTTTCTTATCCAAGCTACAACAGTTTCTTTTGACGTCAAACGTGAGAAATGTGGCCGGGTGTTTTTATGCAACCAAATTGGCTCCTTCCGATTGACCAAAGAGGTCTTCATTATTGCCAATTTTTCGTGCATTGCATTAATTTGGTTACAATACGATTCGGCATTGATGGTTTCTTCAGAATTTAAGGAGCTGCAGTGTATCAAATCAAATGAAGCCCACCAAACAGTAACCAACACTTTGTTTTATGGGTTGGGGGCTTCAGAAAATGTTCTGCTGCTTCTCCTTTGTCGAGCCATTGTCCAGAACGTCTACTGTTATCGTAAAGTATCCACTTCTCATCAAAAGTAATCATTTTGGATAGAAAAGGGTCGTTTTTGTTTCGCCAAAGAAGTGTAGTACAAACTTCATAACGCTATTTTTTTTTTGGCGGCCATTTAATGTGTGTGGAACCCAACTTTCAAGCTTTTCTTCTTTTCCAATCGCCTTAAGGTGGTCATCGACGGTCGATTTGCTAAGTATAAGTTTCCCTTTGGGTGGTCGGGGTGTCATGGCCGCTACTGCAGTTTAGTTTTCAGTTTGCTATGTGTTTATTAGTCAAAACTTTGTGTTAATAGTTGATTAACAGTGACATTATAAACAGTTAAACAAGTTAAACATTTTTAAGTTCACGGATAAAGAGGAGAACCACAGTAGTTTGAAGAGATAGAATCTTCGCTGTTGTGTGAAGCGGTTCCGCCGCCAACAATGGCTACGCCGTCGTCCTCTGACAGCTTAACAGTTATAATGGACACTTTAGGACCAAACGAGGTGAGAGAAAACGCATGGAAGTTGGTCACCGGAAGGAAAAGATCAATCATAACTAATGAAAGGGTCCCGAGAAAACAACTTAAAAAGGTTAGTGAGGTTACTATAACTCAAAACAGTTTCGAAGTTCTAAGCAACTTTGAACAAGAATCAGAACCTAAAATAACACAATCTGCTCGTATAGTTCCTCCTCCCATACACTTAAACGATGTTCAAAATTATTCAGAACTGGTTTCATACCTCCAAAATGTAGGCGGTGTCAATAGTTTTAAGCTAAAGACAACAACAAAAGGCGTCAGTGTATACCCCGAAAATGCAGATATATATCGTACACTAGTGGCTAGTTTAAGGCAGGGCGGTGCTGATTTTCATACATACCAACTACCAGAAGATCGAAGCCCCAGAGTAGTATTAAAAAATCTTCACCATGCAACACCAGTAGAGACAATTAAATATGAGCTAAGATGTCTTGGTTATGAAGCCACTAACGTTGTGAACGTAATATCACGTTTTAAGAAGCCATTACCCATGTTCTTCATAGATATATCAAAGGCAACCTTCAATGAAAAAATTTTCGATGTAGAATTTCTATACTATACGAAAGTGAGAATTGAAGAACCCAGAAAGAAGAGAATAATCCCACAATGTATCAGATGCCAGCAGTACGGACATACTAAAACGTACTGCAATCACGCTCCGAAATGCGTGAGATGTGGCCTAGGCCATGACAGTACTACTTGTACCAAACCAAGAGAAACAGCCGCGAAGTGTGCCGATTGCGGAGGGTCACAACCAGCAAATTACAGGGGTTATAAAACGTTAAAAGAATTAAGGGAAGCCAGAAATCCCAGGAAAACATCGAAAAACCCTGACAAAACACAAATTAGCGTACCTCCAGCAATCCATGAGTTTCCGCCTCTACCTGAACTTCAGCAGTCTCACTCTGCTTCCTTCACATCAAATTCGCAGCATCCGAAGAGACACAATAATCTCCACGAACGCATCCAATAAAACTGTGAACGCATCCAATTTTTCCAGCCTGAAGATTTTTGAATAATAGTCAATTCTCTATTCAACGTAACCATAACAACCCTACATCCATGACTTTAATATTCCTTTCGTTCTTGACCTAATCCCTTACTAATTCCCCAAATTTTACCTCAACCTTATTCGTAATCCATATCCTTCAGCTCATATTTAGATCCACCTCCCCGAAGGTTCAAACGACAAAGGTCCTGTGATCTTTTGTTATGTGCACATGGAGGCCTGGCAACGGTCACGGTAAAAGTGTATGTGGCTATAGTGCTCTCGCCCGATCTCCACTGGCTTATAACACCAGTGACGGTTGAGAGAGTGGAGCAGGGAATTTCTGGAGTCATACTTTCCTGGAGAAATAATCTCCACGAACAGTACCTGAAGCAGTACCAGGTCACCAACAGCAGGGATTTTCAGGCAGGAGAAAGGGAAAATCTCTGGCTGACATTCATCCAGCATCGGCTCAGCTACTCAACTTAGTAAGTGGGTCAAATAATCTCATCCAGCCCCTTTTCAGTCTCCTTCAAGAACTTTCACATGTCACCCACGCCTTATTCACTGACTATGGCAACTAATCAGCTGACTGTGGGCTCCATGTCCGTTCTTCTTTGGAACGCAAACGGGGTTAATCAACATAAGACTGAACTTGACATGTACCTGCACGAAAAACGGACTGACATTGGCCTTATCACCGAAACACACTTAACTCCACGTACTAAATTTTACATTCCCGGTTACAGAATATACAGAACCGATCACCCAGACAATACAGCTCACGGCGGCACAGCGATACTAATTAAAACATCACTAAAGCACCACTCACTACATTTACCCATTACACCTGATATACAATCTAAAGCTATTACACTATATACCCAAAACCAAACTATTATCTTTGCTGCAGTGTACTGTCCTCCGAGGTACGTGCTCACACCTGCGATGTTTTGCAATTTCTTCAGTCGTCTGGGGAGGTGTTTTATTGCTGGTGGCGATTACAATGCCAAACACCAGTCCTGGGGATCGCGACTTTGTACTCCTAGAGGAAGAAACCTAAAGTCTGCCATCCATCAGCTTTCATTGGACACGATCTCACCTGATACACCTACTTACTGGCCAACTTCAAGACAGAAAACACCAGACCTACTTGATTTTTTCGTCACTAAAGGACTAAGGACTGTACCATACACTATAAATGCAAGCTGCGATCTTAGTTCGGATCATTCTCTTCTCAGCTTAGTACTGTATGATGAGCCATGTACTACAATGAAACGACCATCTCTCGTAGGAGGAATTATCGATTGGAATGGATATCAAGAAAAGCTAAACGAAATGCTCTCTATTCCAATGTCTCTAAGGAACGAATATGAAGTTGAAGAAGCTGTGGATAAATTCACAAACAGCATTCAACAAGCTATATTGTCTTCTTCTATCCCAAGGTCCAACAGAAATGAGTGGCTTCCAACATATCCTCAGTACATAAGAGATTTGATCAGGGCAAAGAGAAGAGCTCGCAAAGTATGGCAAACTGGTCGACTGCCATCTGACAAACGGACATTCAATAGACTTAACAATGAACTAAAACGACATATTCAAAGTTATAAAACTACAATTTATGACAACTACATCAGAAATCTCTTTACTGACGATGGGAGCTTATGGAGCCATACAAAAAACCTTGTAAATCATCGTGAAGTGTCTGCACCTCTCCGAAACGAGGATGGTTCCTGGGCAGTGTCAGATATAGAAAAATCGGAGCTATTCGCTATCCATCTTTCTACGGTTTTTTTTACTCCACGTACTGACTTCAACAACATTGAACACGGAGAAAAAGTACTAAACACTTTAGACATTCCACTACAATTGGAATTACCTCCACCTAGTTTCACTCCGAAACTTGTTGCAGAACAAATTAGACAATTACCTAAAAAGAAAGCCGCTGGTCATGACCTGATAACTGCTCAAGTGCTCCAGAAAATGCCTAGAAAAGCTGTAGTTTACTTAAAATCTATTTACAATGCAATACTCAGAACGACAAAATTTCCTGTACAATGGAAATACTCAT